TCGTATGCAAGATGGATAGCAAACTGAGCAAACTGTGGTTGGTCAGGAATCGACCCCCTGTTTTTTTGCTTATTTTGACTTGACTTTTGTAGAAGACACTTTTACACATTTTCCAGTTATTCTTAGGGAAAACAAGCTCAAAATACATTTTTAACGTTGCTTACTTTGAGATTTCACCAGAGGATGTCGTTGTTAGAACACATAATATTTCTGGAAAACGAAATAAAATAATCTATGAATAATTCTTATGGATTATTTAAATAGGAAGAAATTATTTTTACAAGGGATAAATTGTACCTAAAGGACGATATCAACGATGTTTCCAGTATTTTTTCTCCATATGCAAACGAGGATCCAACTTGTATTGGTATAGAAAAATAGCCCTTGATTTACTCTACAATATTCTATATTAAGAACCTTTAATCATCGTTGACCGAGTCACTTATAGTTTCTACAACAGACAAATTGCACCTAAAAGACGATATATTTTTCCGCAAAATCGTGGTCAAAACTATTCAAAAAAGATCAGACTCATCTAAAAATTCCGAAACAAAGATTGTTCAATGCAGTTTTTAATGGTGATTCCAAATATCATGTTGGTTTTGAAAAAAACTTGAAATCAGATGGTAAAGACTGTAAAATGTGAGTGCGTTTCCTTGATTTTTCTCGTATTTGAGTTATAATGGATTAAGCCAATGATATGTGGACTTTGTTTACTCAAAATATTGTAGAGCTTTTCAAGATCTATGTTAATACTAAAAACTAGTTGAACCCTCTCTCCATATGCAAACGAGGATCCAACTTCTATTTGTATAGAAAAATAGCCAATGAAAAACTGAATAAAATGGTATATGAACCATAGTTATGTACCATAAGACCAAAGAGAAATGGTTTATTTTCAAGCATCCCTGTTTAGTGATTGTGCCTGAGTGATCATATTTTCCCATAACCAAGAGAGAATTCAACTAGTCTTTAGTATTAACATTGCTCTTGAAAAGCTCTACAATACTGTAGAGTAGGCCAACTCTACATTTTTCATCGTTTCTATAGTATATGTAGGATTAAGTTGCGCACTCTAAATAAAGAACGATGAAAAATCTAACAGTATCTCTAAGTTTTCTTGTAAGAGATATAGCTGTGTAGATCATTCGTAGCACAGCCCATTTTTTCCCTAACGAGAGAACCGCCCGAGGTGGTACCCTGTGTTTCTACAGTCAGTACGCTCGTACTCGGTGGTAGGAAAGCTCAAGTCGGGATTTGGAATTAAGGCCAAACTTGATAGTTTTTCGAGCGGAATTAGACTTGAACTCGGACTTGACTTTTAAACAAAACCGATTTGAACTTCGACAACAAATCCGATGATTTGCCTCATTGTTGCCGCAGTAAGCCGAAATTCGGAGAGAAACTATAACTAAAGACGTATAGTTTGTGTCTGGGACATATAGTGGCTGCTCCGGAGTGTGAGTGCGGATATGAAACGAATCATCACCTCACTTTTCTTTTTGTGCTAATTATATAGCACAACGCTCAGAACTGTTAAAAACGTTTCAGTCTATACTACAAATAACCGACATAACGATAGATCATTTACCTTTTAAAAATGACGACATGTTTTCTATCGAAAAATATAAAATTAAAATCCTATTTTTTTCTGTTTTAAAATTTTTGAAGGATATATAACGTTTTCGCCAGATCCAATGATAAACAACCCTTCTTTTTCCACTGTATTTTTCGATTTCATGAAACAATGATACAAGATGGCGTTTATGGTCGAGTATTTTTTACATGGTGCCCTAGTATTAGTGAATTACCAAAAGCAAAATCAAAATGTTTTACAAATGTTGCCTCATTTTCTCATTTAGCATATGCTGTTGCATATTCATTTACCAATCAATTTCAATTTCGTCATCTGAATCATCTGAAAGCGATTCCTCGTAAAGTATTAGTATGTTATCCAAGTGTATTTGGCCAATGAAGATCATTCGTATTATTTTCCAATTAATGAGCAATAATTTGATAAATGTCAGTCAAAAACAAGGTGACGGATCAACATCTAACTTGGCTTCTATTGATACAGGATTTCAACAAGCTATGCAAACATCCATCAAAAATTATTTATTTACTGAATGTCAAAAAGTTGACGAATCCAAATGGATTATACAGTCAAATAAAAATGACATTATTGTTGGTTATAATTGATATTTAAGAAAAATGTTAGTTGTTGAAACATTGCTCATACTTAAATTATTACCAGATGTCGTAGCCCAACGAACAGGAAAAAACTCAACTGAAAAGTAAGTCTGTTTTGTTGATAGCGAACAAAATTAAAAGTTTATACTTAAGTTTTTGTTTATTATTCTTATGCAAATAGCATTAATTTAAATAAGAATTTCTTAACGAAGAGATTTTAAAGATTCACTCTTTTAGAAAACTTTGAGATCTCTTAATAAAATGGTACTGTACTCATTACATCATTCAGTGTTTGTTTTTAGATCTCATGAAGAAATGAAACTGGAAAAAGTTATGACCAAAGTTATGAATTTTTCGGTGGTGTTTTTTACTCGAACTTATCTAACGTGCAACAAGAATGGTGAAGGGTCCGGTCAATTTTCACATTCATATGACTTGAAACCTGATCAAATTCTTTCTTCGTTGATTAAAAATGGATTACTTGTCGGTGGAAACTTTATAAAAAATACACGCAATAGAAACGAAGATTTAAAACATTTAGCATTTTGTAAACAATTACCTTTAGTGATTCAAAACAAGTCACGAATAAAACAAGCATTTGATGTAAATATAATTTCCCTTTTTACACTTTTTATCAGATCTTTCACATTGCATGAAAACAGAGTTACAGACCTTGATGAGACTAAGAAAACCCAAAAACCGTTCGAACCATCCTGTTTGTTTTTTACGCATCAATTTTATAAAAAAACAGGATGGTTCGAACGGTTTTTGGGTCTTCTTAGTCTCATCAAGGTCTGCTTATGGTCAACTGATTGAGTCGAAAGCCAGAAATCAGTTGGGGCAGATCTTTGTTCTCCAAAAGAGGCCGATGATTATGGTTTTCCATTTGATCAAACTTAATTTTTTCATTGTGTCAGAGCTGGACAACCTTCGCAATGTCCATTGTGTACAGAACATATATGAGAAGACGATGTATGCAAACTCTTTTGATTTTTCATCAAATAAGATAGTACACTTCTCTTTCAGCTAGTTGTCGATCGTGACTTTGAGCGCGATATGGACCAGCTCGTTGTTGAATGTATGAGTAAACGATGTTGGAAAAAACAAAATGTAAAATTGCATTGACGCATATAATTCGTAGAGAGAAAATACATCTCTCTGATTCACTTTCATAAACCATGACATTTTAACTCAACATGTGTTAATGATTTGTATGCTCAGTAAGAAAAATGTTATGACAGATTAACAATTTTGACACAAAGCATTCAAACATTCGCTTAGCGAATTTCGAAATTCGTCTCTTTATACATATTTCTTTTGCTATCAACGGACAATTTGCAACCAATGGACCATTTTGGTTATGTTGTGTCAAATAAAGATTTTATCCATGTGAAATATATTTGTCCACTATGCGCGTGGTTGATTCGCGATCCAGCTCAAATTAAGAAATGCGGTGATAGAGCATGCACAGCGTGTTTGAAACACATAATTCAGTAAGATTAAAAGCTATGTTTTCGATCGTGGCTTTGAGCGCGATATGGACCAGCTCATTGTTGAATGTAAATGAAAGGAGAATGGGTAGGAATGGACTGGAATATTAAAATACTCCGAGGCATGTATTTCAACTACTGTGACCTATTTTCTATTCATTTTATCATCCATTTTCAGCCTCATTTAAACAAATGTCATGCCACGTACATCTATGAGTTTTGTAATGAAACATTTTCAGCATCGAATCGATTAGATGAGCATAAAACGACAACATGTATGAAAATACCGATACAATGCTCAATGGCTAATATTGGATGTCATGAAAGATTAAAATTTAGATTAAAGATGTTTCCAGACAAACACTAATAGACTAAAGTTTGATATTTCAGATTATGAGAAACGAATTTGGCATGCATCTGCAAAGTGGGCAACATCAAAGAAGCTCACTGGTGTTTTGTGAAAATGTACAACAGTTAATGACTACTTTAAACGAAACAACTTCACATGCTGCTTCAAGGAATATGTACGGAGAGATAGGAGAAGTCCTCTGGGATTGATGATTAGTCAAAATGATGTTGCACATCAAATGATGGAAATCCACGCGGAACACAGGTCACTCTTCGTCGTGCTTATAAAAGGTGATTATGATGCGGTCCTCAAATGGCCATTTAATTATAAGGACACATTATACTTATATGATCAATCCGGTCAGAATCAAAATGTCATTGACTACTTTCGTTCAGACGCAAAGTCGTATAGTTTTCAACGTCCACAATCCGACATGAATATTGCATGTGGCATACCAAATTCTTTCCAGTGTCGATAATTCAGCAGGACGGTAATCACTATGTCCGAGACGATACAATGTTTATTAAGATCATTGTTGATTTGGCTAAACTCCCCAAAATAATTTTACCATATGCACTCAGTCTCAGTTCTAGTTTACCATACCACGATCAACAAGATCAAATTAATCGCGAAATAAAACGTGATGAAAACGCTGATATTGTAAATGCTGCCAGTCTTCTTGATCTTGCATGAGCCAATACCGGTTGTTAAGTATTTGAAAAGCTTATATTGTTACATTCATAGCAGAGATAGATGAACTTTGTTTATGTGTATATTTTATTATTATTTTATGTGCTTAGTTATTATATTATTATTCTTTTATTTAATTAAAAAACCATTAGAAACTTTTATAGTCTTATTATTATTACTAATAGGTCAATTGAATTTAAGATTTTTGCAAGTAATATATACATATAGAATGTTTGATTAGTTTCTCAACTTATATACAGTCAAATTGTTATAGAATTGAAAGTGTTGTATAATCTGTGGTATTTATACTTATTGGAAAAAACACAGTATTCTGTTTAAAATTATTTCATCATTTAGTGTTTTCTGGTTTAAATATCTTAATCGAGAATATTATAATCCAACCCTCCTGTTTTTTTGCAAAAGTGATGGGTATTATAGGCACGATCGTTTTTGAGATATGTTAAGCGTTTGTAAATCTAATGCATTATATTTATTCTCGACGTTGGATTTCCTTTTTAGTTTCTGTACTGAGTTTTGCAGTCGAACAACTCTAAACATTCGTGCTGTTATTGGTAACATTTGTGTATGCGTAATATTGTTCACATGAGTAATATTTACTGTGAACAACATATGTTTCGTCTACTCCTGTGTTAATTCCTTATTACGCTGCTACATTATCATTACTCATGTATTTGCATAACTCTTCTGCTTCCTTTCCTTCGCACGCTTTTCCGTATCTATTTTTCAAACAAATTAGACCGCTCGCCATTTAGCAAGAGTGTCAACAGTGTTTAATAGGAATATGAGTAGAGGATGTTGGAAAAAATGTTTTACGATCGTACGACGTTAAACATTCGTGTTATTATTAGAAACATTTGCGTATATTAATGTGAGTAATATTTACTAATATGAACATCAACAACACATGTCTTCTCCATCGCCTACGTATTACTTTGGCATGAATTAGGAGTAAGCGATGGAAAAAGAGGAGAGTATCTGGCAGTTTTTTCTTGGACAAGCGAAACAAAAAAATTCAATAACTTTTTCAACAACAAAATCTTTTTTAAAAAAATGTTTTTTTGAAGGATTCTTTTGATGAAATAGTATTATCATTTGTTACAGACTGCAGTACGGATTGAGAATGAAGAAATTCTGTTTCTGAAACCGATAATCTCAGTTTTGGACAGAACAAAATCGAAGCAGGAAAGCTCAAGAAACGACATTTGTGCCATATATCTTTTGACTTTCAGACAGGGGAAAAACCTCGTAACATCTGAAACTTATTAATTTATAGTAAAACTCTTCTATTGTAGACACCATCGCGACTTTTCAAAAGCGTTTACTATAGTGAGGTGTTCACTAATAGAGCTTCTACTGTAGCCAGAAGTCGGTTAACTACAAAGGGTATAATAGCAGTTCTTGGATACAATCCTAAGCTATCACATTTACTTAATGATCGATTTCGTCGTCTTCTTCCTAGAAAGTAATTCATTCCGAAAAGTCAAAACATTCTGAACTTATAAATTTTATTCTACTGCAAGTGTTCAGCTCGGAGAAAATGGTCCGAAATCTTCCCGACTTGGTATGGTCTCGGACATAGTTATTACCGTCCTCCTGACTTATTGATAGTGGAAAGAACTTTGGTATGCCAGACGCAATTTTCATTTCAGATTGTGGACGTTAAAAACAAAAGGATTAAATTTTGTTTTAGTATCCTAGTTACTTCTAATAAGAGAAAAAATACTTCATAAGGCTACAGAGACATTTAAAAGTCAAGTGAAAACACCATAATGTCTTATTGTTTCTCTCTTGTGATAACAACAGGAAAATATCATGTTTTAATTTTTTTAATCATGTTAAAAATGAATTATAGTGATGTATTTTGGCTCCGCTAATTATATGGGTCATTGCGATTGACTGGATGGCCATTTCGGGTAATACGGATCCATTTCGTCTATCGACAATTTAATTTGATTCGATTCGTCCTCAGCTGCTTGTATTAAGTTATTTAAACATGATGATTCGATGATCAATCTATTTATATCATTTGATAATATTTGAATGGCTTGTGTCAAGATTGTTAATGTATCATAACATTTTTCTGACTCAGCATACAAATCATTAACGCACGTTGAGTTACCAGTTAACCTAGATGATGCGGATTCGAAAGCTTCATAATTCTTAGCTAAATCATGTTTCATATTCTTTGAAGCAACATATGCTTTGGTTTTACATCGCTATAATTTATTACTATCACGCTTTTTCCCGAGCTCGAATCATACCTGGCTCACCTGACGAACCTTGTTGGCAAGAAGCGAGACAAAGTTAATAAGCAAACTCAAAGACTTCGA